AATGCAGTAATACAAAATACAATCGACATAAGGCAAATTAAAAAATATTGAAATACAATTTGAATAAACACCCCTAACAAATTCAAAACCCTAAAGATCCACATATTTGTAGACCTAGAAAGGAAGGGAATATCATTACTCACATCGTCAAAGAAAAGGTCATAACTATGGCTCCAAGACGTAGCTAATTTCCCCAGAGAAAACCCCAATTGCTCCCTAAATTCAGCAATGATGTCAATAAAGACTTGGCCTTTAGAGCCTTGAAAACCCTAGGCGGCCATTATAGAGAGAATATCACCTTAGAAGATTTAACATATCCCTTAAATTTGGAAAGAATAACTAACTTAAGATTGCTTATAGTTAGAAAAATCTTATGTATTCTCATATTTTGGAAAGAGAAGTAGCAAACTAAACCCACTGAAAGCTGTAGAACGAGAGGCATACTTGGGAATTCAAGAGCTATGCATTCAAAGACGACCCATCAAAGATATTCATGCAACAATTTAATGATAAAGAATCATGAATAAAGAAAAAGGAAGGCCCATAGATAGTTTACAAAAGATTTCAAAAGATATACATGTTTCAATTTTTTAGGAATTCTTTCCCTAGATAAGGTCATCTCTCTATCCAGACATCTCTATCTACATACATTATTTTTTAAATATAATTTTATTTTAATTTTTACAGAATATATAATCTTTAACATGAAGATCATAAATATGAAATAAATAAAATTGAAAACTAGAAATAATAATTATATTAAGAAAACATTTGGACTGCTAGTTGCGTATGTTTTTAGATGGACCGCCTATTTGCATCCATCTTTAAGATGGATGCTTTATACCTTTGGACCGCATATTGTATAAATGCGATCCAGCTGCATGAAATAATTTTATTTACTTTAAGGAAGTGTTTATCTCTAGATAAAGTACTATTATCTCTCCCTCCGCATTTCTCTATTTCACACTCTATACATTCCTCTCTACATGCATTATTTTTAGAAAGTGATTATCATCTCTCTACATAAATTATTTTTAGGAAGTGTATACTCTAGATAAGGTCCTATTTTCTCTTCTAAGTCTCTTTATTTCACTCTCTATACATTTCTCTCTACATCCATTGTTTTCAAGAAGTGAATATTTCTAAAAATTATTTTAATAATGCAATATAGATATCTCTAAAATTAGGTACATACTCTATCTCTCTCTTCCTCTAAAGATGACAATGTGTCCTACAATCTCAATAGAATTAGCGCTCTTGCTTTTTCTTACGACACACTTCCAACCCTTAACTCTAACTTAATCTTAATATATTAATAATATAGTATAGATATAGATAAAGATGTGAAATAGATTTTTATGTCATTATTAATGCACCTTACTTAAATTATATAGATGTGAAATAGATTTTTATGTCAATGAAATAGATTTTTATGTGATTATTAATGCACCATACTTAAATTATATAAGATGAACGCCCTATACAAGCTGCACCCTTCTTTATATATCCCTACAAATGAGATATATATACATTAATTATTTGAAAATTTGTTTCATGCAGGCTAGACCGCTTTACTACAATTTATAGTTTAAAGGATCAGGGATATCAAGATCAGGGACTAGCACATCTACACACTTATTAAATCCAGTTATAATTGTATAATTTGGATGTATATCATTGTCAATATAAAAAAAACGTCGAGTTCAAATAATAACCAGCTGCATGCAATGGCCTATGTAACAGTATATCCCACTTCTCATCAATAATATCCAAACAGGCTTGTAGCGGTTCTCGTCATCATCAAAATTTTGGGTTATTTCTCTTTTGCATTTTCTCCATAGCCTCACATATGTAGCCCCATAAAAGCATTGTCAGTATCAATCATGCGAAGGACTTTGACAAGAGGAAAAAATACCTTAAGAGCACCATTCACCCCTTGCCAAAAAATCTTATAAAGGATAATATCTATCACCTTCTTCCCAACTTGATCTTTGAACCACTTGCATGCTCTCTAGTCAACTGTACTCTCATCGAATGTATGTTATTTAGGCATAAGTACCAGATCGCAAATCTCGTGACCTCAGGCCTCACAATCTCTTTCTTCTTTGTAAATCTACGCATCATGCTGAGGGTGAGATGGTGACTATAAATGAAATTTGTAACTGACTTTGCCTTCTCCACTGCACCTTATATCTCGGTTAAATTGCCAAGAGCCTTAAGCATGAGGTCTATACAATGTATTGTACATGGTGTCCAAAAGATTATACGATAAACTATGTGCAACAAATTAGCTGTAGTAACATTATGAGCAGCATTGTCTGTGACAACTTGTACAACAAGATGCTTCTCAACTTCCTTGATTCCCTTATTTATAGCTTGGAATATGTAATGGCCATCATGGATATGATCAAAGGCATCAATAGACCTAAGAAAAACAATCCCTCAAGGAAAATTCACAAGCAAATTCATTTGACTTTTTCTCTTCCTATCACTTTAAGCATTAGTCATAATAGAAACCACATACTGAGCCCATGCATCATTCTTAATTTCTATAGCTTCCTTTGTGACACTCACCGTTTTTTTCAAAAGAAGCTCTGAAACTCATATGGGGTTGGGGGTTTCATTCCAGGGCCAAATTGGGCAATTGCCTCTAATACAACATGGAAACTACTTAGGTGAGCTGTATTGCAAGGAATACCCACCTCATAAAACCATATAGCAACATAATAAGCAGCTATGTCTCTCTCTTCCTACTTCATTCTATTTTCATTGGTGATTTGCTTCTTTGTTTTCTCTCCTGCAACCTTAGGGTTAGGCTGAGGTAAAAAATTATCCATAAGGCCTTTAACCCGAGGCTTCTTTCTCCCAAACCAAAAGCAATTACAACTCCTTTTCCCTTCTCCCTAATAATGAATTGTTCTATCTTTTGACATCCCTTCCCAATCCCATCCTCATTACTATTATCATCATAATTAACCCGAACCCCATACCTAATCTCTGCTATGGAGGCAAATCTCTCATTTTTTTATATTTTTACCATACTAAAAAATTTGGCTATTTTCATCAGGAGTCTTTTTACATGGGGCAACATCCCTCTTGATACCAGCAAGATGTTTCTTCAACCGGTTTATGCCCCATTTTGTATCATTGTCATAAAACTTGCATCTTATGCAATTTTTATCATTAGGATCTGAGTTGTAGCCATATTTTCGACCGGAAACACCACTCCTATTAGAAGCAATAAAACAAGGGAAAATATTGTATCTACCCCTAATTCCCCATCTTATTTTACGATAGACCCTCATTCTATTTTTCTTTCAAGCAGCATAAAAAAGCCCTGGAATATTTCACCGTACCCCCTCAGCTTTCTCTCCCACGTTTATTTACTTTTGACAATAAAAACTAGCCCCAACAAAGTATTTTATTCCATCTTAATCTAAAAGTATTTTTAACCCTATTTTGCACTTTTTAAAAAAGCTTTTGGATTGAGATGGAATAAAACAATTTGTTGGGGCTAGTTTTTGTGGCTAAAAGTGAATAAATGTGGGAGAGAAGAGATGAGGGGTACGATAAAATACTTGAAGGTTTTTTTATGCGGCTTGAAAAAAAATAGAATGAGGGTTTACCATGAAATAAGATGGGGAATTAGGGGTCTGTACGAAATTTTTCCATAAAAAAAACCGCTTACTTTGATTGTTCAATCTCCAAACTTCCATCTTATAGATACTTCTAAAGAATCAAAATCTTCTAAACGCCCCCATAGATTTATAAAAAATTAAAAATTAAATCTAATATCAATGGGTGATGTTTTGATAAATTTCAAATAACTTTAAGAAGTCCTTCGATCCTAAAGAAATCATCAAAAACTAGTTTTTTGGTGGCTCTCTCTCTAATGAGTTTTAGGTTTCAAATGAACCTAAACCCCCCATTTTTGGCCTCTTAGTATAAAAAAACTAGAAAAAACTAGCCCCCACGGAAACCTTTTTCCACCTCTAGGCGGGGTGCTATACTTGGGCGGCTGCTCAGGTTTGGGCCGCTGGGCGGCCACCTAGATGGTTTCCTGGGCGCCAACCTAGATGGTTTCTTGGGCGCCTAGGTAGGCGCCTAGGAACCTCCACTTTTTTTGGGTGCCTAGGCCTGGACGATGTGCCCAGGTCGCCAGATCAGCCTAGGCGGCCGCCCAAGCGTGGATGCATGAATGGTGAATGTAAGTTTCAATATTTTTATGTTGTGCTCAATTTCTTCCTCATCCTAGTGTTTATATTTATAATTTTAAGATTTCGATAAGCTCCGGATGAGTTTCAATTGGAGCAGTGCAAGTTTTTTTCAGCTTAACAATTAAATATTTGTTCCCATAACTCATTAGGGGCAATGTGCTTTTGATATTTTCATATTATTGCTACTTCCCATTCACTTGCCATGTTTATGAGCTATTAATTTTGGTTTCAGCTGACAAACATTAGAATAAATGTGAGGCTGCAGAAAATTGTTTTAAACTTAGGTTCTCTCAAGTATTTGTTTTCGAATTGATCAGTGCCCATGGGTAAGACTCGGATTGCAAAAGTAGAATGTGGGGCGTGGTTTTCTTTACATTTGATGCTAGTCGTTGTTCTTGCATCTTTGGGATGCCATTTCAAAAACTCTACCTGAGATCTTGTTTACTTAATCATAATTCAAGGGTATCACTTTTGAAAAGGAAATTTTGTTCAATGGAATAGGCCTCGTTCTAATACATTTTTAACATAGTAACAGTCTATACCTCTACTCCAAATATTTTGGCAAATTATTGGGCCAACCATAGCACAATCCAATAGAATTTAAATGATAAAATGAGGTTGACATGTCGTCAGTTCAAAGTACCGGGGTGAATCAAAGACAAGTATCTATAACTTATTCAATATTTCAGCAAGTAATCAAACACACAGATATCCGTTAACATTCTATCAAGTTATCAAACGCAGTATCTAGTGACTTATTTAAATACATCGAGAACAAATAAGAGACAAAACTCACAAATTCGAACCTTGACCATACATCAATCACTAGATTAGAGGCTTTGAATTGTCGTTCATGTTTACAATTGGCGGCGATGACCCAACAAATGATTCCCATCATCCGTAAATATATTAACCTCGCTGATAAAAATCCATAAACATCTCTTTCTCCCTTGCTCTCTGGATCTGCGGAGCTTTGTTCGTCTCAGCCCAGTACGCCCCTCCTCTCTTTCCCCTTTCTAACACCCTTAATACTCACTTCTTTATCTGTCTTTATTTTGTCATTGCAAACCTTACCCCTCCTTCATGGTGTTTTCCACCTCACTGTGTTGTGGCTTGAGCTTTTTAATCAATAATAAACACGGTTTTGAATCTGCAATTGAAAATGGAACGAACCTGTGTTTTTTTGGAGTAAGCCATACTTTCAATCAGTGAAAATTTCCACATTTTTCTCCAATAATATTTTTTAGCATAAAAATATCATTTGGCTATTGCGCATCTCTGATTAAAACCTAACCTGAGTATCTCTAGGTATAGCTTTTACTTCTTTTATTTTTGGTAACTTTGTGTGGTGTTTGCTGAAGTAGATTGCGGGTTAGGGTTTGTATTATTTATTTTCTTCTTAAGAATATGATTTGATTAAGGTTCACTAACGTATGCGCTGGGAATTTCATTTTGACATAATTGTGCTGGCCTTGTTTTTATTTTTCCGCAAATTTAGTGGGAAACTATTGGGCATTTACATTTATCTATTCTTTTTGAATCAGTGGTATGAATTTCTTGAAAATTTATTAAAAGGATGAAATTGCTGATGCAAATTACCTCTCTTGTCTTCTGGACTTTAATTTTTCCTTATGTTATGCATAGTTTAGCTTTCCTTTTCTAAGTTTTTCTGCAAATTTACAGGGAAAAAGAGAACAATAAAATATTGTCTTAGCGAGCGGCAGAAAGAGTGGGATTTGATTCCAAATGCATCATAAAAGGAAGAAGGGGATTTATCAGTCTCAAATGATTAGAGTAACTCAGAAAGAGACTGCCATATAAAAAATAGACAGTGAGAAAGTATATTTAGTTGAATCCCATCGACCGTCACTGACAGTGGGAGAGAGATGACAGTGGAAGAACGAGTAGTGGTGGCTAATGGAGGACGAGACAACAAAATCGTGACTAATGGAGGAGGAGACAACAAAATCATCAACAACGCTAGTGTTGCATCTGCTACTACTTCTACTACTGAGAATGGAGGAGGAATAACCATGAACAGTTACATTAAGAAATCTCTGAAGGAGGCTGATCGACGGAGGAGGAGGAGGAAGCAAAAGAAAAACAAGACTCATAATAACAATGCTGATACGGCTGCTACAAGGGATGTTGATGATGATGATAATGATCACGGTGATGTAAAAACAACTATCCATCATGAGGTACTACTACAATGGGGCTTTTCTCCTTTTTAACAACTAGTAGATTCTCGCAAGTTCGTTTTTTAGACTTATTGGACGAATTAGGCTTTATTCAGTTTCCTCAATATCTTGGGGGCTTCTCTTCCTTGAGATTCTCTAGAGAGAGGAATGGAAAAATTAGGGATTCATTTCCTCCTGTAAATTGGTGCCTTAATTTGGAGGATATTGGAATGGAGGAGAGACATACCACACTGGAACTATATCTTTCGGTAAAATTTGCCTTACTTGTATGATTTGAAGTGGACACCTTATACAAACCTCACCCTTTTTTGATAGTTGTTGTAACAATGGATGACTAATTTGAGCTGCTTATTTATGTATATATGAAGTAACCTACCCCCTTTCTTTACTTTCTTGTTCTAGTATGCACTGAGCAGCTATCAACCCCATGGCTTATATATCACCTAAAGCTCCCAACCTCTAGCAAGACAATGAACCCCATCTTATATCCCCAACAATACCCGAACTTTAGTTAGCCTTATGGTGGACTAAAGTATCCCTGACCTGGGGATAAAATGTTAATAATGGATATATTACAATATTAGCTGGGGCTAAGAGCCTAAGAGTTCAATGTAAAAAGAAATTTTTACCATATATCATCAATATTGCGGCATCCAAAACCCATTCTGTTATGATGGACTTTAGAGAGTTACTGTTCCTTGCTCCCTCCATAGGGAAATGGACTGCGGATATGCTCCTGTGGTGTACTATCATTTACCATTCATGTCGTATGGTTTTCCCACTGATACTTTCATTTCCTTGTTTGTGGACTAGGGAACCTCTCCAATAAGTTATTTTCAAGAGTTAACTTTCATCGATTGGTTGACAACAGGGTCAGGAGCGAGTTGAAGTGGAGTATGTTCCAGAAAAGACAGAGTTGGATGAAGATCTCTTAGATGATTTTAAAAAGGTCTTTGAGAAGTTTAGCTTTGGGGAAGCTGCACTTGGTGACAAGGTATAGCCAAGGTTCACATTTTGGAGCTGAAGTGAATTGTGAATGTCTTGTTAATAATGTGCTAACATAACTTACAAGTTACTACTCATGTGGCATAGGATGATGATAAGAAGGATGAAGCAGGTCTAGATGCAGCAGCGGCAGCAGCAAAGAAGCAAGCTGACTCTGATGAGGATGAGGATGAGCAAGATGGCCAACAAAAAGAAAAAGGCGTCTCTAACAAAAAGAAAAAGGTTCACTTCTGATGATGGTGACTGTTGCCTTTTTTCCCCTCTCTATTCTGCTGTCAAAGCTTGATGTGGTCGGTTCTTTGTGTTGTAGTTGCAAAGGAGGATGAAGATTGCGGAACTGAAACAAATATGCTCGAGGCCTGATGTGGTTGAGGTATGAGTGTGGCTACAAGGATGGACATTTGTTGTTACTTCATTTTCCTATGCTGAATATTCTGTATTTTGATGTGCGAAAACTTTTCTTCGTGTGCAGTTATGAGTTTAAGTAATCATTTTGGTATAAAATTTGACAATGTCCTACTGCCCTATCCTACATGTTAAGCACTTGTAGTCCACTGGTACATTAGCTTGTCTGCAGAGTTTCTGTGTCCTACTATCATTGTCATGGAAGTTTTCCTTTGACAGTTTGAATCTCATAAAAGAGCACGAATGCCCTTGTACTAATCTATTGACTGGATGTTTAATGTTTTAAGTTCTTTGCCTTTAACTCCTATGAGTGTTGTCACCCATATTGGCCAACAATGCTTCCGATTTCAAAGTTCTGCTTTCTCTCACATCCCAAATGTGATTATTGGCTATTATCTATATTGTTATATCATATGCGTTGTCTGAACTTTACATTTTCTTACTCAAGTGATTGTTCTTGCATATTTCTTTGGCGCTTCAGCACCATTTAGGTTGCTTCTTTAGAGGTGTTATCAATATATATTATGGGACGGAGTCCTTCCATTGATTCATGCACATTGTAAGATGAAATGTTCTCTGGACATCTCACACATCATACATGAAGCAGCTCATGGTTTCCAAGTGCACTGTGAAGGAGACCTCCTATCAAGGAGACAATCTTCATTAATCATCACTATTGTTTTGACTTTTTAGTAAGGCCTCTGCAATGTTCAATAAGTCAGAGGCGGCCACCTAGGCGGTGGGGTGGGTGGGCCGCCTAGGTGGGGGCGCCCAGACCAATTTTTTTTTTTTTTTAAATTTGGATCCCCCACACCTCCCCCCATTTTATGATATATAAAATTGTCTGTTTTATTATTTAATAAGTAAGTTTTGTATGTAGTATATTGTTAAGATGCCAGAAGCACAGATCAAACCTAAGCATTTACAACTTTAGATTGTGAATGAAATAATTATAACCCAAAATGAACATTAAAAGATAAAATGAACTCGAGATGTCATTTAAATCTCGCAAATACAAGTCACTCACAAGTCACAAAAGTTTCAAAATTCATTCGCAAAAAGTCATATGAACTCATATTCGACCAACAAAGGCCACAAACTACAAAAAGTCTTCTTTAGCCAACAAATATGATGAACTCAATTATGAGTTTCAGTTTCATCATCACTACAAACACGGCGTCATTGTCTAGCATGCAGTCCAGCTGAATCTGATGATGATGCCAAGCCCTCATTATCAGAGTCATCCTCCTCCTCCACATAAAAACCTTCTTCCCTTGTAATTATTTAATAAGCTATAAGCAATAAGCAAATATTAAACTAACTAATAAAATAATCATGCTTTATGAATCGTACATCAAGAAAACGCATTGCACATACAATTATTTAATAAGCAATTAAGAATTAAGCAATTATTAAACTAACTAATAATATAATAATCCAAATAGATAATAACATATCAAATATGTATCACAAAGTATCAAAGAAAAAATACAAATAGCAAAAAATAACATCATTAAACATTAAGGGAAAAAAATACAAAACATAATGAAAACTATTGAAATGTACCAACCTTCTTGAAGTGGACTCGATTTCGCGCCAAACCGAAATGTTTGGGATCCCAAATCTCTTCTTTTACAACCCCTATAAGCCTCAAAAAGATTGGGGTTGAATATCCTTTAATATCGTGACCATTCAAGGATTTCGAAAAAAATTTAGATCTCTCAAAAAATCTTCAAATCTAGTTTTTTTCAAGTTGTTTCTCACTCAAAAGTTCACTAAATTTGTTTTTGGGGGCAAGAATGACCTCCCAAACCCTTTTCCCCTCTTTTTAAAGGGGTAAAATGACTTTTTTTGCCCCCACCCGAAAATTTTTTTCCGCCATAGCCCTGCGGGCTGCCTAGACGGGGCCTTTTACCGCATTTTTGACCACCTAATCGGTCGCCTGACCGCATAGGTGGGCCCCTAGTTCTGGCGCCTAATAAGTTCCTCCTTAAGAATGCCTAGGTGTTTTTTCAAAAAAGCCGCCTAGGCAGTTGGGCAGCCGACTTTTTGAACATTGTGCCTCTGTGCTGCCATAATCATCACTATTGTTTTGACTTTTGAGTAATGCCTCTGTACTGCCGTAAATTAATCTAATCATCCTCAGATTGTGTGGTGCCCATATACCTGTTATCTAGGCTTTGCCATATGCTCTCGATGACTCTGGTCCAATATTGCCGAACAACTGCTGGTGTGACTCAGTTCGTGGATGTTGAACGGCCCGAGTTATGGTGTCCCTTTTTGATTATCTCGATCACCTCCTGTTCATAGCAGTAATTTTGATTAAATGCCATGTTGCTTGTATCCTCCTATTTCCTCCAAATGGTGTCTGTGAAGAGTATTTCTTCTTTCATTCTGTTGTGCTGTTGCTTCTATCCACATTAAGGATATTAAGGAATCAGGTTTTCCAATGGTAGAAACATAGAATCAAACAAAGTCAACATACCTTCCTACATTCCTTATGTAATTGTGTTAGGCGAAGAGATTTTGCTTTGGCATCATTCCTGCTAAGAAATGATCAGATCGATAATTTCAGATCTAATATTAGTTTTACATCAAAACCATGAGAAAGCAGCCACCATTGGGGGAGTTTACTGCCTCCAAATCTGTCTCATTGAAAGGAGATTTTCTTGTGTGACCGTAATATATACACAGATTTCTTGGAGAACCTACACAGTGTTTCTGGCTCCAACCTAATGTATTAAGGATGTTGTGCATTTAAGTTTTATGGAGAACAGGTGTACACTTGATGTTTTTGGAAGTATTTAGCTATACATTTTAGTAACTAATTTAATGTGATGTGCTGAAGTTTATAAGATGCAAGCATTGTCTTATGAAATTGGACATTAGCATCCATATCTTGGAAAGAGTTGAATCTCCCAATTCATTGGCAAAATCCATTATATTAAATTTTGTGATATACACAATCGGTAGTCAAACCAAGCTGCTTGCGAGACTCTAGATGCATGTAGCTATCTGTCTACGATACACACGTGTATTATACCCCTGCATAATTTTTATGTGGTTGTGGATGTGTGCTGGTCTTTTTTATTTTTCATTTTCTATATTTTTTCACCTGGGGTTTAAATCTGGTTGTATATGTTCAGGTTTGGGATGCAACTGCAGCAGATCCCAAGTTACTTGTATTCTTGAAATCGTACCGAAATACAGTACCTGTTCCAAGACATTGGTGCCAGAAACGAAAATTCCTACAGGTGAGTAGTCACATCTGATATGAACTCATATGGCTGCTGTCTGCTTGTATGCTTAATGTGCACAATAAAGGACGGGGGACCAACAAGAGGGTGTGGGAACATATAATCGATAAGGTAGCCACCCTCTTATTTGTATATGTGGTTGTTGCAGGGGGATTTGGTCACTCACTGGATGTAACAATCATGGAGCTACAACCTGTCGGTGTTTGCGAAAGGGCAGCTTTGAATGGTTTCAATTTATGATATATATTTGTAGGGTGGGTGGGGTGTTATTGACCATATTATGATGACAACTTGTAAAAGTAAAATGTCTAGGTTAGGGCAATGGTCAATGATTTGCATTTATTTCTGGTTCGGTGTGGCGATACTTTCCATTGGAAGATAAATCTCCTCTTTAAGTGTTGCAGAGAGGTTGTTGGCTATTTATTTCCCCTTAAACGCTCAAACTTCAATTTTTGGTTTTTCTAAACTTGATGTGGCAGTTCACTGCCTTCACCTAAGATCTTGAAGATATAGTTTTCATCTTTCATGAAATTCTTGCAGGGAAAGCGTGGCATTGAAAAACAGCCTTTTCAACTTCCAGATTTTATTGCGGCAACTGGTATTGAGAAAATAAGACAGGTGAGAGTTTACATAAAAAACAATGTGCCTTTTGCAGTTGATAGTTTATGTAGAATAGAATGAGCTTTTGTTGTTCAGATGCATGATTGTCTACGTGAAATTTTTTACATGTTCATGTGCTGAAAAATTCATAATTGGTTTCATTGCATTATCACTGCAGGCATATATTGAAAAGGAGGATAGTAAGAAGTTGAAACAGAAGCAAAGGGAACGTATGCAACCAAAGATGGGAAAGATGGATATTGATTATCAGGTTGATTAAGTTATTGGTGACTGGGTCACTATCTGTAGCTTGTAAAATGTCCTTTTGTGATGACTACAGTTTGCACTTTCATCATCTTCTTGCTATTGTCAACTTCTAAAAGAACAAATCAGTCTGCATATTGATTCCTTTGATTTTATTGAGGTTCAGAATGAGGTACATCTTCATATGTAAGTGGATAGTTTCTTGAATAAGGATGTTTTCCTTTTGCAGGTCCTCCATGATGCATTCTTTAAATATCAAACAAAACCGAAATTGACTACTCATGGTGATCTTTATCATGAAGGGAAGGAATTTGAGGTAGTGTTTTCTGCCACATCCAGTGTTTGTAATGGATAAAATTGAATTTTTTTTCTCGTGAATTAAATATTTGAATCACATGAATCGCAATGCTCATGTGGGTGCTACTTCTGAGGTTTATTTGAATAATCTGCAGTAGATAATATTGCATTTTATGTTTATGACTGGAGGTATCTTTATCATGGATCTGTTGAAATTGTCAATTCCTTCACAATTCAATCATGTTGGAAGTTAAACGTGGTAATGATAGATGATATTGTAGTAAGCTTTTGTTGACAGACATGTTACTTAGATGCAACCAACAGCATGTCATGTGGTGACTTGGCCTCTTCAGGGTCAATATTTTATTGAATTTGGTGTATGTCAGTATATTGTTTTGTACGCACATATTATTGTCATCATCATCAGCATCATCATCATCCTCATCATTATCATTATTTGAAAGTGTTGACTTGTATTGTATATACAATCAATCTCATACCTCGTGAGCTTTTGTACAATTGTTGTTGGATGTATACATGTATCCTCACCCTTTTCGAAGAATAGGATCATCCGAGGATTTAGCACCTGAATCACATAGCTCAGCTCTGCCACTTAAGGAGGCAAACCTTTTACCCATCCCCATTTCCGGTTTGAACCCCTTCAGACCTTGACCAGGAGATAGATCAGTTGAACACTGAATTCCAGTTACTGTTTTGTGGAGGGATATGAATGGAAGGTGGTTAAGGAAATGTGTGATTTGGATGCCAGTCACTATGAGTGAAGTTAGAGAGGCTAGAATAAACTTCGTAATTGAAGATTGCAAGTGATTGTAATTCCATATTGGTAAATGGGGTCATTTTTGTTGTTCAAATGTGTATATTGTGGTCTTGGATAAGAAGATGAATAGAGCAATTTCCGGCAGGTGGCCATTGTGGTCTTGGAGGATGAATGGAGATGGTGAGTTGTGTATTGTATATAGGGGATTAGGGATGAGGAGCTTCACAGGTCTCTTTGTGGGAATGGGGACAAAATTGTTTTTCTTAGGCATCTGAAGGTGTTTGGTTTTAGCTATTGTGACTGTAGCAATGATTAAGAGAGGGGGAGGGGGATGTGTTTGATGGAGTGATTTGAGGACAAGGGAGGGTGTGGGGTGTTTTGTGTTTACCGAGGGATTTGAGACAGGAGTCATAGGACCTAAGTTTGTTAAAATGTTGGTTTCTCATTCAAGGGTGGAGAATATTGATGTGTCTTGGAGTAGAACTTGTATTATTGCTTACACTTCTCTATTGTGATCTTTGTGGTACTAGGAGTGGTTTACAATGTTGGTCTTCTATGTCATGTCTTGTCCCCTCTGAAGTGTTTGATTGTGGGTGGTAATTGTTAGAGGAAGGGTGCAAAGGGGTAGGTAACTGCTTGTAGTTCATCATACTTTTACTTGGAAGCTTTGGGTCATGTCCTTAGGTGGGTTTCCTAGGTGAATCTGATGATGGCTTTGAGTTTCTAAGTTCGTGGGTAGTTTGGTTGCTCCTGAAAGGTGCTGGAGTAGTAACACCCTAGAAGACTAATAATAGTTCAATTTAGATCTTGTCACAATAACTTGGCAGAGCAATAGAGTTATAGCTGGCGACTCTGAAGAAAACTAAAAATGATGAAGAAAATAACTAGGGGTTCAGAAGACCAATAATATTTCTATTCTCTGTGAATCGCACTGTCTTCGATGTTGATGTTACCTCACCCCCTTTCTTGCCAAATTTTTTTACTGGCAGTGGCTCTCAATGTGTAATTTTCTCACTTTTTTGGGAGTCAAACCAATTGGTCATCTCCCTTGCGTTGAGGAAGTTTCCAGTGTTCCCACTCAATAATTTAAACCTTGACATGGTATTGTTCACATATTATGGCCTTTGCTCCCAGGTACACATTTTTGAGATCTAGACTCACAATACTATATCATTACACAAGTTAATGAAAGATTTCTGTGATTAATGGTTAATGAAAATTTACTGGTAACTTACAAAAAAAAGAAAAAAAAATACAATATTAATATAATAAAGATACATTATATATTGGTACTTAGGACACAGTTTCTATGAGTCCTAGGACTAATGAGTCCCCTCTTGGAAATCCTGGATTTTGGACCTAATTCTTGAGGAATATATAATCTCTAACATGGAGATCATCATCTTCCAAGCCTTATCTCAATTATTTGGTGTCGGCTAAATGAATCTTGTTCCTCAATTCTTCTCTATCAAGGGAGATCATGAACATGTAAAACTAAATAAATATTTAAAACTGGGAATGATAATTTATGAAGAAAATATGTAGACTATTAGTTTCAACTTTTTCTGGGGAATCACCCATTCGCGTCCATCTTTAAAATGGATGTTTTATGCCTCGGGGGATGCAAATGTAGGAATGTGTCCCCTAACTCATGCAACAAATTTCCTATTGCGTATTGAAACAAGATACTGTATTTTTTTAGATTATATACTATGTCTTATACTTTATATGTACTTATCATTGATTTTGGGAAATGCCAAGTGTATCCCCTCGCGTTGATTGGAGGGGAAGAAGCGCTATGTTTCTGTGTGGCAGGAGGGGGGTGCATAGATGCTGTGGGTGTGACGCATACTTTGTGGTTGTGTTCCAAAGAAATGGTTACCCATATCAGTTTGTAACAGAGCTACACATGTTAGATATACCGAACCTAAAATTGGCCTTTCAGACATGGTATGTCTATAGTGATATTAATTACTGTCATATGGACAACTTAAGAGTTAAGGTGAAGTGTCAAGTGTCTGACATATGTGTCATGTCTCGATGTGTTCAGTTCTGGCCCAGATTTACTCCAACATGATGAATAGTCTTGCTTTTACTTGTTCTCTGTAAATTTTAGGTGACCAGTTTATTGCTGGACATCATCTTGATACAAGGTCTTTTCTTTTCGTTTTAGCTGGATGAGCTGCTTGGAATTTATCTTCATGAGTGCATGCAATTTTCATTATTTGAAGTTAAATGTGTCGAGAATCATTGTTCTTCTGCCCGTTTATGCTCATGTACTTGTTATACAGGTCAAGCTCAGGGAGATGAAACCTGGCATTCTCTCTCAGGAGCTAAAGGAAGCTCTTGGTATGCCTGAAGGTGCACCACCTCCTTGGCTCATCAATATGCAGGTTTGTGTGAATATCTGGTACAGTCCTTTTTGGTTTGTCATTTTGTTTGCTTTGTTGCTCGAGTAGTTAAACAATGTCACTCTTAGTTGAATTCCTTGAAAAGACTGTTGGTTTGCTTCCTGATTGGTCTATAAATTTATGACAGAGATATGGTCCTCCGCCATCTTATCCGCATCTGAAAATTCCTGGTTTGAATGCTCCTATTCCACCTGGAGCTAGCTTTGGTTATCATCCTGGAGGTTGGGGCAAGCCTCCTGTTGATGAAGTGAGCTTTCAATGATTCTTGCATTCATACTTTCATAGCGTTTGCTATGTTTTGTATGGATTTTATTTTGTGCAATCTTGTATTCTTTGGTGACTGATTCTCATAGCGTTCGCAATGTTTTGTATGGATTTTGTTTTGTGCAATCGTGTATTCTTTGGTGACTGATTCTGTGAAATTTTATTATGTAGTTTGGACGCCCGCTATATGGAGATGTTTTTGGTGTCCAACAGCAAGAACAGCCTAATTATGAGGTATGGGGATATCCATTTCTCTTGGTTATTCAACTGTTATTAGCTTTAGGAAATCCATTTTTCATGGTAATTATTTTTGGGTAAGGTTTGGAAATGGAATAATATAACCTCCCTTATTGTAACAAACTTGGTGCGCATGCAATTAACATCTGCCTTTGTTAGAATACAAGTTTCTACGTTTCTATGGTTTTCTTAATGATGACAATTTTTTTTTTTGAAATACCTTAATGACAACAATATTATTGTTATCTCATTATGCATTTTACTTTGATTGCAGGAGGAACCTGTTGATAGGAGTAAGCATTGGGGCGACTTGGAGGAAGAGGAGGAGGAAGAAGAAGAGGAGGAGGAACAGATGGAAGAAGAAGAATTGGAGGCTGGTATTCAATCAGTTGACAGCCTCTCCAGGTTCTCTCTCTCTCTCTCACCCCCTCCCTCCCTCCCTCGCTCGCTCTCTCTTTGCCCTTCCGTCCTCCCGCCCTGTCTCTCTTTACCCTGTGTTTAATAAGTTGAGTTTTTTATGTTCCCCACAGTACGCCAACTGGTGTGGAGACACCTGATGTCATTGATCTTCGAAAGCAACAGAGGAAAGAGCCAGAGAAGCCTCTTTATCAAGTGAGTACATTGAAAGATTTTGGTCACGGCTTTCCATTGAGCTACATTATTATTTTAGTTGATTACTTTTATCATAGTGGTATCTTAGTAGGTCATCATCTTTTGTTTACTATTTTATTCTCGTGGAGTCCACTCTAAAATTTACATTTTATCTCGTTCCACTAAAGGTACTTGAAGAGAAGGAAGAAAGGATTGCACAAGGAACCTTACTCGGAACAACGCACACGTATGTCTTCACCTTAACTAGTTGGTTACCTGACCATCGCTTTCATGAATTTTAGGACTTCTTTTCTGCATATTCGTATTTCTCGTAGTGGACTCTTTTTTTGAGAGAAGGTTAACATAGGGATATTGTTGATTTGGTTTTGACAACTTTTTCCCTTGGACAGGTATGTGCTTGGGGCAACAGATAAAACTGGTGCTAAAAGGGTAAGCAAGTTTTTTCGTCTGAACCTTAGTGTTATTCCATTGGCACTTAATGATTGCTCAAATTGTTGGCTAGAGTTTTTATTTTTTTTACTTATAAATATCTGAAATTCTTTCGGACTCGTGTAAATTATCCTCTGCATTTTTTCTTGCTGATTCCATGTTATCCTTACCCAGGTTGAGCTACTGCGAGGGCAAAAGTCGGACAAAGTGGATGTCACTCTTAGGCCGGAAGATTTAGAGGCTTTGGATGATGTTACTCTGGCAGCAAAGTAAGTGTTTTCGATAATAGGAATCGGAACCGTTTTTTGTAATAGGATCCGGGATTCTCGATGCGCTGTTTAATGCAAGCATGCATGGTTTTATTGGAGTGTGAGTTATTCATCACAAGGTGGGCATCGTGCAGGTATGAGGAAGCAAGGGAAGAGGAGAAGCTGCGGAATCAACGAGAGGACTTCAGTGACATGGTGGCAGAGGTTTGTTCTGAGTTCATTCTGGAGGAGGGGCATGGAATTTTTGCTGATGTTGTTTGTTGGATTCTCATCAGTCTTTCTTTGTGTTTTTTTTTTTTTATTATAAAAATCTCTGTGCAGGCTGAGAAAAAGAGGAAGCGCAAGATGCAGGAAAAGGAAGGGAAGGCAAAGAAGAAGGATTTCAAGTTTTAGGCACATAAGTATGCATAAATTTTGGAAAAGCATGAATGCTCCCCCACCCCGTTGGTTAGATTCTGTTTGGCCAATATATTGTGAACTCTGAAGTTAGAAGAATCGGGTATTATTAACATGTATAATGTGAATTTCTTTGGACCATTTTTGGCCCATGTTGGAGCGATTAGTGAATGGACAGGGTAAGGATTGATGTTTAAAGGGAATTACCGTATTAGTTAGTGGATCCATTCAGTCCTGGATGATCTTTGTGGAAAGTTGCAAGTGATTTTGTCGTCTGTTTTCCTTTAGGCAAGGCAAGATGGCTAGCATGAAATTTTAGATGTTCCCCTGTGATGCTCTTGTTTCTACTTTTACTCCCCTTGCTGACAAACTACATTAGCATTGTTATTAGCCACCGTTGCCATGCGATAATTTGGTGCAGCCTTCATGTTGAGTGGAATGACGCACCTAACTGTAACCTTCCGTTGTTTCCTACAATCTGCCATCTACTTGTACTCCACTAAATAATATCACAGGAATTGTAGGCCTCGTGTATCTCTTAAAGAATGCCAATTCATAGCCAAGTGATGACACATACTCTAATTTCTCCAGGAAAACTTAATTCTCAAATGGCAAAAATTCTTTTGGGCTTGGAAAAATCCTCCAATTGGCAAATAACGATTCAAGAAGGCAAAAGAACCTCCCATGCTCAGGGATGGACGCAAGATCAGGAACAAGGATAAAGCCCCGGGTATCAATCTGAAAAACTCCATTCTGAAAATTGCCTGTGCAGCATAAAATGTCTTTAATAGTTGGGCATGGTTAATAAATAGATTTGATGTGTCTTTTAAGATTGTTATTAATATTTTAAGATTGACAATCTTAAAATATATGCTTAATATGTACTATCCAAATTCAAATTCACATCGTAAATCACTATAATTATAATTAGATGGTATAAAAGTAATACTACGTTTTAATAGTCGTCAAAGATATATCGCATCTACACCAACTAAAATAGGCAGTGTAGAGCACAAATTTACTTCTTCTGAAATAAGGTTGTCTTATACAAACCTACCCAAGAAAACTGAATGTGTAGTCAGTAGCCCAAGAGCACATGAGAGAGATATTGCGCCTTCAAATCTATCAAACATTGGAGTTGCAGAGGAGAGCAACGGATCGCCACGAAATGTGAGAGCAACGAATCGCCACTCAAGATAACCACATGTGGAAGCAAGTTATTACCCAAAAATACCATGTAGACCCAAGCTTGTGGCTACCAGAATGCCGACCCAATGGTAGAGTCTAAGGCATCTGGAACCCAAGGAGCGGATCAAGAATTGATTTTGGTTAGACCCCTGGCTCGATCAAACCCCTTTGAAAGACCTTAACCTAGGCCTTTATCTCCTCGCTCTCCATCAACAAGCTTCTATTGAAGACCATTTTCCCTTACAAAAGACTGCAAGGAGTCCTGGCCTTCGCAGACCACGCTCAGATATTGAATGTCAGGAATTCCCAAACCTCTCCACACTCGGTTCAATTTTTCTCTCACCCTGGAGAAGACATTTTAATATGGTACCTTGGTCCCTCGGGGAAATTTTAAGTTGCTTCCTTTTATTGCAAACTCATAGAACCGCCAACATTCCCCCTAGCCCCTTGCTCCATTGTGGCCAAAGCATGGATCTCCATTGCTCCTCCCAAGATCCAAGCCTTCAGCTAGATTGCTCTCTTTCAGAGAGCATGAATTATTGACCAGCTGCAAAGAGAGGCTTGGCTTTACCTAATCAACCGAGGAAACTAACCCTCACTTCTTTATACATTGTCCCTTAACCCATTCCTTGTGGGGAGCTTTTCTTCAGCTCTTAAAATGGTAATGGATGGCCCCAAAAATATTCCCCATCGCTTTTCCTCTCTCCACCCCTACACCTGAGCCTCTTCCGGTATCATATTGTGTGGAAGGCTTCAATGGCAGCCCTCATTTGGGAAATTTGGATAGAACATAACAATCGTATCTTCTGAGGACAATTTTCTACCATTGAAGCCTTGTATGATAGAATCAAAGTGGCAATTATCTTCTGGGCCACCAATCACAAGCAGTTCAAAGGCTTCACCCCTTCAACCTTCAACCTTCCACTTACACTGGTACAATATCATCTTCTTACCACATTAGCGTAACTCATGAGCCGGCTCCCTCCAAAGCGGGGCCACGTAAAGCTCAACTTTGATGATTATTCCTTGGGCAACCCAAGACCATCAAGTGTAGGTCTTTTTAGAGACTACAAAGGGTCCACTTTGGCCTCTTTCGCGAAATCCATTGGTTACTCAGATTCCTAATCAGCAGAAGCTAGCATTGCTTGAGGGCCTCAAACTATTTGACAACTCTTGGGGCCATGCTCTCACCATAGAAGGGGACTCCCACAACATTCTTTCTTGGGCCTGTGGTTCGGCTAACTGCCCAAGGCCCCTGCTCCACATCTTTGACGAAATATCCCATGTAAACAGATGACTTATGATTACCTGGAGACACATATACCGTGAGATTTATGCAGAGGCAGACTTTCTCGCTAAATAGGATGCTTGACAAGCGATAGGCTAAGGTTTTTTTGCATACGCTGTCAAAGTCCCTTCTAGGGGTTCTCGCTCCCTTCCCCCTTCTTCTCCTTCGTTTCATTACCCTGGGATTTTGTATAGAGCTCCCTCCCCCGGGGGCAGCCATTTTTTCTGTATATACCCCCTGGCCCCCTGGCGGTCCTATTTTGTACCATTTTTTCTTCTCTTCAATACAACAATTAACTTCAAAAAAAAAAAATATCAATGCTGCAATCAACAACAAAATATTCTTCTATTAGCAGAATTTGTATCTCCTATAGGATCAACATATCCAAGTCTAGCTCCACTACTGTTAATTGGTTATGCAAAACAATACAGCAAACAAGAATTTACACACGATGTATATTTTCTCATCAGTAAGCTATAACACCATCCAAGAGGCCAAAGGCAAAACTAGAATCATAAAACACGGAAGGCATTATTGAAAAACAAGCTCAGGTTGGAAAAGAACTCTAAATAACTGTAAGTTTTGCCAAAGAAGTATACATTGATGCAAATTGGTGAATATTTGTTACCAAGTTTAGAACATATATGCTTGTTGACAGCAGCTAGAAATAAAGATTGACCATCATATTTGGTTCTATCAAAATATGCATGAGGGTTTTGATGAATAACAAACAAATTAATAATTGGGTTGATTTTTGTCATTCATTTTTTATCAAATGATTATTAAGGTCATTGAAAATGTTTCAAAGCTCCCCAACCACAACATAGCCTTTCCTCCCACAACCTGCAGCATTCTCCAACCTAACCATCCACAATAGCCTTTTGGTTTGCTACTCTTGCAGCCTCACTATCCCTTGTTCATCCAACTACTTCCACCACCAAAAAACAAAAACCATCTTTCTATTCCCACAAACCGTCCGTCCATGTCACAGCCCCGCTCCCCGCCCCCATACCATACTAGTCGGAGGGTAACAAGGTGCACAGCCCCGCTCCCTGCCCCCATACCATACTAGTCGGAGGGTAACAAGGTGCACAGCCCCGCTCCCTGCCCCCATACCATACTAGTCGGAGGGTAACAAGGTGCAGGATCGTGACCAGAGGTAGCGAATGCCACTCAGGTGGGAGTGTGCTTAACGCTTTTGAAAAGAAGGAATCAAAACAAGCCACGAAAGAAAATAAAAACTCCAAACACAGCCATAACAAAAGCTGAACGAACTAAAACCAAATTTATACGTAAGAGCTCCAAAGTTATTACAGATATGTCCAAGGTACTAAAGGCCCAACAAAATACATAGCTTCACAACAAAACAACTATGTGGCCACCTGCCAACTAAAACCTACAATCAAAAGGGAGCTTCTCGTCAAGTTCGGGTCTTCAATCGCCAGTCGCGATCACCCAACCGTCTGGTCTTAACCCGCGAGCTATCACTCTGCAATCAATAAAGTCAAAAGAATGAGCTATGAAACCCAGTAAGTAGATCAAAGCGCCATGCACTCCTGCTTATATATAGTTATTCATAACCGTCCCCAAGATTCATGCAGGTTGTACAATATAAAGTCATGTATCACAATTGTATTAGTAAAGTGATGTAAGCAATTCCTTTCATGGTGGAGCAATCGCAAATCAAATATCTGACATCACACGAGTTAATAGTTTATCAAATCTCTCCATTAACATAACAAATCAACAAATTCAGGCAAACATATTTTAACTACATGCAATCCTAATGTCGCCTATTCTTGAAGTAGAAACCCTATCCATCAGGCCGAGCCAAATCTTATGGCTTAAGACTTTTACCATACCTCAGGAGGGAAGACAATGACAAATGGATGACCCATTTTATAATGTCTTCACACACACACACAGTCCCCAACGCGCTCTGGGGCGTTTGATAGGTAGAGGCCTTGCAAGACTCGACCCTCTCTTTATGCCCTTCTGGCGAGAGAGTGTAATACTACCAATGGATAAACAAATGCATAGTGTCCATATAGATTTGGGGGGCACGACACTTCCGACTATTTACATTCACATCCTAACTCCCGTCATATCATGGGGAGTTAGGGAAGATCTCAACCGCCGGCACAACTTTCTTATCATATCATATCACATTACACTACCAACGGATGACCCGTTGCGTAGTACCTCATATCACATTCTTGTCATACCATATCACACTATCAATGGATGATCCATTGCATAGTGCTTTATATCACATCTGCGACGTGTCATATTACAACCATGCACATTCAATAATTCATAGGCATGTCTTATTACAACCATGCACATTCAATAATTCATAGGATGTCTTATTACAACTATGCACATTCAACAATTCATAGGCATGTCTTATTACAATCATGCACATTCAATAATTCATAGATGTGTCTTATTACAACCATGCACCTTCAATAATTCATAAGCATTCACTATTTCATAGCAAAACAGAAATTTCAGTGTGATAGTCTCATAGAAAAATGAGTATAACTCCCACTCCACAGGAAATTTTGTCATGGTCCCAAAACTATCTTGAAAATAGACTCATTCATCTTTCCTTTAGAAGTGGTTTGGTCTAATTCTGAGACATTTTGGTCAGTAAACAATGCTACACAGAACATGTGATAGATCTGAAAGATTCAACAGAAAATCCAGTGTGGTATCCTTATAGAAGAACATAACTTTCGAATCACAGAGAATTTGATTATGCTTTCAAGACCATTTTCGAAATAGATTCATACATCTTTCATTTAGAAGTGGTTTGAGCTTATTCTGACATGATTTGGTCAGGGAACAATCTTGCGCAAAAACATGTAAAGTTTTTGAAAACATTCCTGCATTCACAATAGTGACATCTTAATAGAAAAAATGGCATAATTTCCAGATCGTAGGGAATTTCGTTTTGATTCCAAAACCATATTTAAATTAGACTCATTCATCTTTCATTCAAAAGTGGTTTGAGTTCATTTTAACATGATTTGGTCAGTGAACAATCTTACACAAAAACTTGTAAAGTTTCTGGAATTTCTTTTTACAATTCTGGCATGTTCTAGCAAATGGCTCATAACTTTCCAATCAAAAGAGATATTGATATGAGGCCTTTTCTCTCTTAAAATATACTCAAAGGGGTACTTCCCCAAAAAATTTAACAATCAAAAGAAATAATTTCAGTGCTCAAACAATTACTCAAAGTGGAGTCACAATTTCAGAAAAAAAGGCACATTCCAGCAAGATTGTAAGAGCATTCAAGCCATATTCATGTTCAAAGTTTCATCCAAAATCATGCTTAAACCTCATAATTTGATAGACTAAGAAAGCATGTATTAACAAAAAAAACATGAGGACATGGTAGCTAAACCCACTTACATGCACCAAAAGACTCCAAGTTTCCCCCACACAGGCCATGCTTCCAAAGATGATTTCAAGCTTGAGGTTCTAAGTCTGTGGAAAGGGAGGTCGTGGGTGAGAGAGAGAGCTAAAACTCTTTAGAGAGGTGTGAAGGGGAGTTTACCTATAAGCAAAGAGTGGGAGGCAGCAGGCAGGTGGCATGCAAGGGTGCAAGGGCACACAAGTGGCAACAGTGGTAGACATGTGGTAGACATGTGACAGACAAGTGCCACATGACACTCATAGAAGTTCCCTGGACGGCTCTATACATTCACTCTCGACAGCAACGCACACGGCGGTGACGAGCACGACAGTGACACACACGGCGGTGACGCGCACGGCAGTGAAACGCACGGCGGTGATGCGCATGGCGGTGTCACGTACGGCGGTGATGCGCACGACGGTGTCGCGCATGACGGTGATGAGCACGGCGGTGTTGCGCACGACGGTGACACACACGACAACATCCCCATGCATGCACAATGGCTTCCTCATGCACGACGGCTCCTTACATCAACCCCCCTTAAAAGGATTTTGTCCTTAAAATCATACTTTTGCTAATCGAACAATTGGGGGTACTTATCCCGGATCTCATCTTCCCATTCCATGGTCGACTCTTCTCATGAATGGTATTGCCATAACACACGGACTAGAGGGATCTCCTTATTACGCAATACCTGCACCCTTCTGTCTAGTATCCCAACTGGCTGCTCGATGAAGGTTAGGTCTTCTCTGATAGGAATCAGTTCATACTTCAGAATGTGGGACGGGTCGGGCTGGTACTTCCTTAACAGAGATATATAAAAGACATTGTGGATATTTGCCAGCTTGGGTGGTAGGGCAAATCGATATGCCACGCTTCCAACTCTCTCCACAATTTCAAAAGGTCCAATATTCCCTGGACGGCCCTATACATTCACTCTCTGCAGCAACGCGCACGACGGTGACGCGCACGGCGATGATGCGCATGACAGCATCCCCATGCGCGCACGGCGGCATCCCTCACGCACGGCGGCTTCCTCACGCACGACGGCTTCCATCACGCATGGCGGCTTCCCTCGCGCACGGCAGCTTCCTCAGGCACGACCGCTTCCTCACGCACGACGGCTTCCTTACACACGGCGGCTCCTTACAGTCCACTTATTTCAGATCTCACCAAATGAATATTATATCATGGTGACCCAAGCAAGCAATACCTCATTCCATGAACAGGCTTGAAATTTTTAAAGCAACCATGCAGTCAACTCCACTATCACTATCTACCTTCCTCTTGACTCTTGACCACAACCCCTTCCTCCCATTCCCTAATTCAGAAGACATTCTGTTCCCCACATAAATTAGAGTGTGATATAGAGATATGATTAACATGATACAAGACAATATAATGGAATTTGCTTTACCAGGGTTTAATTAACTTGAAATCAATCTGGGCACGTATGTCACAATCCTTATGGAGATTGCCCATTGAATCATTATATCAATCATTGAACATAAAAAGTGACATAACTGACCTGGAATGGCTTGACAGTGGCTTGAAGAATAGTGAGGCTGTTTAGGGTCTTCCACCTCTCTCGAAAAGATTGCCGGTTTGGATAACATACCCCAATTCAGGTACAAGTTCGGTAAAATTGAGCTCCAAACATAAATAAATTTCACAAATAGTGCATGAGATAACTAAATTTGAACAGAAAGTACAATCCCTACAAAAGGGCGTCGTGGACAAAAATGATACACAATATCTTGTCCAGTTCAACCTGCATGAATACTAAAACAATTCAGACCTAATTACTGTGTTCCTTTGTTTTGGGGAGCTAGCAGAATTTTCATGTCATGTGAGTTCTATGTGATGCAAGTACAAAGGCTGCTAAAAATGATTTAGAAGGTGCCTCGAGACGATTCATCTTAAAGTGATGTCAAGTTTACGTAAAACAACAATTCACATGAAGTGACATGTTAATCCTTATTAGTGAAGTGAGGAACCCAATTCCCATATGCATTAGGTTCCAAGTTGAAACACACCTCAACAAATATTCCTATGTGATGAATCACACAGATGAGCCATAAGATAGAGTATAAATTCAAAAGCTATAGAAAGAAATGTAGCAATAGCAGTAGAATGAAAAGGATACACCTATATAAACATTTTCTTGAACTAGTGGAAATTGGAAGGATACCTATTATGCATGAGATGATTAAAAAAAGAAGGATTTCAAAGTAGACCATGAGAAATGCTCAAGTACCACTTTCTTTCATAATATAATCATATTGCAAATCAGCAAAAAGGGTTCTACATATAATTAGCTCACCCTTCAAGAGTTCATGAAGAAGGGTTGACATATTCAAAATTTATTGAGAGATAAAGCCATCATAAAACTAAATAAGGATAATTGTACACAAAACATGTTTATTTTTTAGACCTAAAGCTATTGCTAGTCTAAATTCAATGTGCTGAACTTTACTTACTGTGATGGAATCAAATATGTTACATGTGATCATCCTATTCAGGAAAATATTTACCGCTTCTACTACCCTTGGTTCTACTTGAAGGAAGACCTGCACAAGGGAATTTCTGACGTATTGACAGACTTAGGAAAAAGAAGGACCTTCTTCATTGGCTTTGAGAAAGTTCTTTAGATAAGTTGCAGCAGCTATTCTCAGATCCCAAATAAGGTCTCCTGCTAATAGTAGAAAAAAATAAAATAAAAAGCAAAGCACAAGTATTCTTTCTTTCTATTGGGCAATAGAAACCTTTGCACACCGCACGGGTGTGGTACAGATGCCCTGCCTAACAAATACCAATGCCTTCCACTATGCCGACACACACCAAGAAAGGCACAGAGGGATGAAGTTGTATAAAAGTTTTAAAGAAGAAAAGCATTTGGAAATCGTGCAGCTGTCCATGGGCAGAAGAATTATGAAATTATATAGGTCAAAGCCACTATATATAGTATTCTGATTCTTCACATGTCCATAATTATAATGCCTATGAGTATAATCAACAAACTCAAGGGCCTGATGAGAAACTTCCTGTGAAATGGGACTGCATTCTTAAACGGTCCCGTTTTTGGCGAAAGGTCATTCAGCATAAATATGACATGGAGTGCTCATGTTGGCATCTTAGTAGCCCACCAGGAATTCTCCATTTCCGCTTCGAAGCAAGATCAGGTGATCACATTCCTTTATGGAGAGATTTCTGGATGAAACTCACTTTGGAATCAGGATTTCTTTGGCTCCAAATTGCGTCACAATAAGACGCATTATTGCTGGTGTTGTGAAACTTTTGGGGGTTAACAGGTGCGGAGAGCAACTTCTCACCAAAACTAAAACGAGGAGGAAGCTCTTGAATTCGCAGCCTTTTTAGCTGAACATAGGGGCCATTTCATCCAGCACTATCCAAGGTCCAGGCATTTGGGTTGTTTGCAGTCATGAAAATGGTAAAACGAGGAGGAAGCTCTTGAATTCACGACCTTTTTAGCTGAACATTGGGGCCATTTCATCCAGCACTATCCAAGGTTGCTTGCATTTGGGTTATAGTGAATAAGTAGATGCATTTGAGTTGCTTGCAGTCTTGAAAAAGGTCCTTACACTTGATCATGTCCAAAACAGAGGCCTTTCACAACCAAATTGATGCACCATGTGCAAGGAGCCAGGAGACAGTCAGGAATCTACTTATTCACTATAAGACAGCCTTGAGTATTTGGGCTGGCATTGGATCACCTTTTGTTTCGGTGGATAGCCTTAAACAATTGTGCCTCTCCTGTTCTTCCAACCATGGGACTACTCCTCTGGAAGATGACAATCCTAGACATGAGTCCGTCCATATGGCTCAAAGAAAATAGCAAAATTTTCAATGGGGCCTATCTTTGAAAAACAACCTTAAGCAGTCACATCTCCATTACTTATTAGGCCCTCCCTTTCGAGGAATTTAGCCTATATTCTGCAGTTTCAAGATAGGCCTGTCTACGCAATTGGAACAAGTTGTCAGATCCTTGCCCAATCCTCTTCCACTCCAGCCCACCCACCAAAATCTTCTCACTGGTTGCCCACATCCAATGGAATTGTTAAAGGAAACTTTGATGGGGGAAGCAGGAAGGTACGAGAGGAACTTTTCGAAATCATCCAAGGGAAACACTTTTTACATACTCGGGGCTGATACACACAAGCTCTCCTCATTGATCTCCAATTATTCCATAGAAATTGGGGCATCAAACTTCATTATTGTAGGCCATAACTCCCTTGCCAGTGGAGATTAAACAACTTGTTTGACCAAACGTTTTAGCTTTGTGGACCTTTACAGGTATTCTTTTTACCAAACATCCTACTGTCCAATTAATGTGGGCATGCCCGCATAGTAACTGTGTCCTTGAGGAGTACTTGTCAACATTCAAAACAAAATAAATATTATTTAGAGATTTTTTATAGCTTTTTGGATATTTCTTACTATAAAAAACCCACGCATATACTATGCCCCCTCATGAACTTATTACACATTTACTCCTTTGGGTAAAATTCTAACCCCTAAATTTTTTTATTTAAAATTTCGGGATCCAACTAGTTATAACTAGATGATTATTTTTTAAGAAAAAAAAATCTGGATTTTGAGTTTCTAAATATCTAGAGCATTTGCTCAAAAAAATTGGATGTGCCATTTTTTAAAGCACATAGCAAGTGAGAGTCAAGTTGTTGTTTGTTTGAGGTTTGTTGCTAGGTTCTAGATATAACATCCCAAAATTTAGGATCTAGTGTGAGTTTTGCTTGGGGGACTACATGGAAAGAGTACTCCTGCAGGAGTAAAAAGATCTTTTAGTGTGAGGTTTTTTATACGGCTGAAATTGTTACCGAAATCGACATTAAAAAGTTTCAAATCAATTTCTAATTCACGAGAATGGCACTTTAGACATTTTTGGAGTAGGGAATATAGAAGCGAGAGAGAGAAAGAGAAGGAAACCCTAAGATCAATGGATTCACATGTTTGACATAATTTAACACAGTAATCACCAAATTTCTAAAATCAACAGTTCCCCATATTTGATGTAATTTAGCACAACAATCATGGAGAGAGGGAAACCAAAATTGAAATGCTGCCAGAAAGAAAGTGGCGCCATCCCTCCCCTTTTCCCTTCCTCATCTCAATCCTTTCTCTCTCACTCTCCCTCTCTATTGGAAAAAAAACCCTAGCTTGGCATCTCCTTCAAAACCTAGAAAGCTGATTTCAAATCGTTCATTTAATGCAAGGCCTTAGTTAGAATATTACAGGTAAAAACAATTGGAAATATCCCAAATTTCCTGCAATTCCTATACAATACATATAATTAACCAAATCAAGCATTTGGTCTGAATCATTGCATTCAAAAGAGTATTAAAAGAACTGGCTTGTTTATCCCAAACTTATTTATCCTGAGAAAGGATTGAAGGGCCAACTTGGGCTTGTTTGCAAAGCCCTAGTTTGGAATAACATCTATGAATGTTATTCCACTGAAATTCTGGAATCCTTTAACGCTTTGAGTATAATTTCCATAGAATTCAAATCCCTAACCATGGCAAATTTCTCTATGATCATATGATAAGTATCAGGATTATGAAAGAAATTGGGGTGATATTTCGCAGCATGGTCAAAGAATTGTAAAGCTAGGTCTACATTTTGTTGTTGATTGATCATGTTTATGAGTCTCTTGGGTGAGAGTTTTAGACGCCAATGAGTGAAAGGTGAGAGAGTATGGGGAGTGGCAGCATAAATGACACTGCAGTGACAGTTTTGAGTTGTGGTGGAACTTGTGCGTGAGTGCCATCGACAAAAAGAGTTTCTGATTACTACGGAGGATCCGGATGTTATGCACTAAGTGATTGTAGGAAAGAGCAGAAGCGAATCCTTTATGAAAATGAAAGCATTTAGATGTGTGCCAAAAATTCTGTGGAGAACTCTGATGAATACTTTAAATGTTTTACCCTGAGAAATGCATGAAAAATCATGGGGTGCATGTGCAAAATGCTTGGCAAGCATGGAGGAGATATTGGAGATATATAGGTAAGTGTGGAAATGCTTGGTAGTGCCAAGAAGTGACATGAAGGCGATGCATTCCCCTTCATTTTATGTGGCAGAATCATGCTGGTTTCTGAAACATTTATTTTGGGGAGTTGAGTTACTTCATATTATATCAAGTTTTTGTCATTTTCACTTGATAAGCAATTATGGTATCATTTTTACTTGTTGCAGTAAGTAAAACAAAGAAACCTGAACAGTGGCCTTCTCCTACTATTCGGTGAAATTGACTGGAATTTTCAAACAAGTGGTTAAATTGTTAGCTAACAACTATAAACTTGTTAGCATGTTGTATATGAAGATTGCTTGTGACCTCTTCCTATTGTGATGTTTACCACTAGTTTGTACTATCACATATTCGATAATGAATATGTATAAAGCTTGAATATGGTGGACAAGAAATTCAATTTTCTATACTTCAAATACGATTTTGGCTTTTGGCATGCAAATGCTTTTTTGTGGCATTTGTTTTTTTACATGGATAACCAACCAATGGTAATGTCCTAAAAAAAACAAAAATTCAAACTCATTGAACTTCTAGTGGCAATCAATGCGCCAACAACAATAATAGAAAAGGAAAGAGTTATTATAAGCTTCGCATTATACTTGTAGGCTTGAAGCGCTAAAGTGCAATTTTGTTCGGGTTTTGATTCCATAGTAGTATTCTAACTTGGCGAGTTCGTGTCTCTAGAGGTAAAGTAAAAGCCAAGGGTACCATCTACCTGTCAAATATGTTTATGGTGTTTGTTTCAAAGAAACCTCTTGGAGACTTTATGGCATTTGAAATGCCTCTGGTAAGAATCTTTAGGATCTCTCATCCTTGCCTGCCAGAAATAAACTTCTCATGTGGCATTTTTCTGCAATCATAGCCATTTCTACAATTATAATGGTCCTACGAATATTTTCTCTTAGAGATGTAACATGACACTGTGATTAGGGCCATCTCAACCGTCCATTTAGAATGGACGGTTGAATAAGGGAAGGTATATAAGTTTTATGCTGTAGGGGAAGCATAGAAAGCTTGCCCTTATCTAATAGGAAACGATGACAGATAGGTAAAAAAGAAAAGAGTAACTCCAAACCATGTGTTCAGGTCAAACCATTACCATTACCAAAAACGTCTACTTTCATTTTATCTATCAATATCACCTCTACCAAAGGTAAAAATAACAAGAAAAAAGAAGAATAGAGAAAAATGAAATTAAGGCATCCATCGATACCAATCTATCAAGGTCCTATGCCGACGACCTTAGGGTGATAAGTCTAGGGTTTGGAGGCAGCCTCAAATAGAGGGGACATATGTGGAGTAAAAGAAAAACGCAATTAAGGCATCCAACCCAGAGAGATAGAAACTGGGTTTAGAGGGAAAAAATTGGATTGTCGACAGAAAAAAAAAACAGTCTCTAAGAAGAAAGTTTTCTTATAAATTGTAAATTCAGTTCCATAGTCCAAGAGTTTAGAGCATAAATTGTTGAGCATTTCTCCCAGGACCTTCTGAAGAAATTTTAAACCCAATATACAAAACACGTGACAAGAAAGGATCAAATCAGGTGAATCATAAAAGCGTAAAAAAAATACGATGTGCTCATAGTGCAAATTCAATTATACTAGAAGAAAATGGAAGACATAACAAACAAAAACAATGAGGAAAACCTATAACAGCATAGATATAAAGAAGATTGCCATGAGAAAACATAAAGATGCGGAGGTTAAAAACCATCCAAGCATAAGCTCTCCATTTGTTAACAAATCAGATCCCAAAGTCCCTCGAGCTCTTCTCTAGTGCTAAAAAAAAAGCGTCGATCTCACGAGGTTTCGTGTCCTACCTCCTTGACCTCTATCATCTCTATAATCACTAGTTTTCGGCCAATGCACCAAACCAAATTGTTCATGGCAGGTCTCAGGTTTATAACAAATATATTTCTAAATTGGTTTATACTTTTTTCAAACACTTGACACATAAAAAAATAAAAAAATAACTAAAAAAATAGAGTTAGTTAAGGATCTTAAAATATTTTCGTCCCCATAGAGGTTTAACAAGTTTGTTAAAAAAAAAAAAAAGTTCATCACATGCCTCATTTGTCCATAAGCTTCTATGTTGTGTTATGTGAAAAATCTATTAAAAATAATATTCATGAGGAAACTACCACAATTTCCCAATGTTAAATAAATGAATGGCTTCATGCACGACAGACATTCATGGTTAATACTGAGCGATGTTATAACACTTTGCTTGGGCCTTGGACTCGGCTCTTGCCTGAGCAAGTAACTCGACCAAGTACCAAGGCAGAGTGGACTACAAATGATATACATATGCAAGGCTCTCCATCTGTTACCAAATCAGATCCCAAATTCCCTTAAGCTCTTCTCAAGTTTTAGAAAAAAGCCTCGATCTCACAAGGTTTCATGTCCTACCTCCTTGACGTCTGCCATCTTTGTTATCACCATTTTTCAGCCAATGCACCTAACCTCATCATTCAAGGCAGGTCTCAGGTTTACAACAGATATTTCATTAAAGGGAATATCTTTCAAAATTGGTTTATGCTTTTTTCAAACACTCGAACCATCCAAAAAAAGAAAAATAGGAGAAAAAAAACGGAAGTTAGTAAGGATCTTAAAATACTTTTATCCCCATAGATGTTCAGCAAGTATGTAGAAAAGAAAAAAAAGAAAAAATTCATCACATGCCTCATTTGTTCACAAGCTTCTACGCTATGTAATGTGAATAATCTATTAAAAATAATATTCATGAGTAAACTACCAAAATTTCCCAATGTTAAAGAAATGAATGGGTTCATGTATGAGCATTTACACCATGGCCATGTCTGTGTGTGTGACAGACATTCATGGTTAATTCTAAGCAGTGTTATTCCACATTGCTTGGGCTTTAGAAGCAGCCCGAGTAACTCAGCCAAGTGCGAGGCTGAGTGGACTAGGCCTGTGCATGACCCAAAAGCCCCTTAAAAAAAAGATCTTTAAAATGCTAATAAATAAAAAAATATTTAAACCCGAAACAAAACTAAAAACAACATGTAAGGAATCCAAATAAGCTCAAAAGACTATAACAAATTGGATTACAAAATATGGTTTAGGGTTGGAGATTCCAAAAAAATCCAACAAAAAAAATACAAAAATAGGGCATTTGACAATAAAAACTCACAAACCATTGTAAAGCATATCCAAATTACATATACATAAATTGATCCCATAAGTTTATATAATTCTTATGTTTTTTTTGTTCTTTAATGTACCCTTCTTGTACCCTGGAACTAAGGCAGGCCAAAATCTGATAGAACCAATGCCATGAACTAGAAAGAAGAATTAATAGATGTGAAATTCATGAAACCATCAAATCCAGACAGTCCAAAAGAGGGGAGACAAGAGAAATGACATATAGGTGTTGTCAATACGAGTTGACCTTTGTTTTGCATGGCATCTCTTCAGGGTGTGCATCCTTGTTGAGGCTTTGTTGAACCTCATTTATAGTGCAAAAATTTCATATATTCACTTCTCGTGTTTCGTGAATAAGTTTATTGAGTTTAGTTGGAATGCAACAAACCCAATTGTGTGGAGCAGTCTTACTCTCAAAATCCCATAAATTTCTCTCTAATACTTTATCTAGAAAGAAAAGATGGTGATGAGAGATTAGGATGCATCTAACCTTGCTATGTGCATTGCATGCTCTTTCTTTCTAAGTTGTAATTCAGGCTAATTCTTATAAGTATGGTATGAATATCTTATCTTATAACTGATACTTGTAGGCTTAACCAGATTTGGTGATATTGAGGTACGGTTAGAGGAAACAAAAACACCTTCAGAAATTTGTTAGAATTCCAAATATCTGAGAAACTATCTAATATGACTGGCAAAAGTAAAACTCGAGGGGTCATTGAGAATATTTGGGAATAGGGTTTTGTTTTTTTCCATACCTGCACAACACAAATGATCTTGAGGTGAATGGGGGAATTACAAGGCAGCCTAATGTTGTCGATCTCATAGAAGCAATTCAGCGTTGCTCCCTACACATACATTACCACCTCACGCTTAATACTCGATACTGATAAATAACAGAAAAAAGAAAGAAAAAACAAAGGAATAACATTTTCTCTCACAACAAATATAATGAAACACAAATCAGAAATTACCACATCACTCACAGTTGGAATGTTCATTTCACAGACACGTCATTGGACAAGGCTTCTCTCCCTTCACTACTTCACGCTTAAACCCCTCCTGAAATCCATTTAGAACCAATTAAAAAATCAACCAATAGAAACACTCACCAATCACATTTATCCCAATTTTAAAAAAAAAAATTCCTCAAAAATCCTCTCTCTCTCTCTCCTTCTCTCTTTTGTACTTTACGTGAAATGAAAATCACAGTTACTTTTATGAGAATCTCCGAGATTATGATTACCATTAACCTCCCTCCAAATCGCAGCGTTAATATCAGATATATACCAATGCAAAGCGATTGGTAATAATATCTCAGAAAGTGCATGTCCGAAAATAGATTTGGAGGGGTTATGTCTCCCCCACTGACTTAACCAAAAAAAAATATTGGAGGGTTATGTCCGACATTCTTCCCTGCTTATCATTTCCATGGAGTTCACATTCCCTGTAACATATCCTATAGCATTTCCATCACAGTGAGCTTCTCTATCTGTTCTCCATCATTTAAATAAAAATAGTGCAGAAAAAAGGGTTCTTTTCTTTTTGTTTAAAACTATAACGCTTTGTTTGACATAATAGAATCTGAATATTCATATTTTTAGAAATATGAATAGCCATTACCAGTTTTCCATATATATAAATTATTATTCTGAATATGCATTTTTCTGTGCATGTTTGACTGTCTACCTCTATCTTAAAATTTTGTCACATTACTGTAAAGAGAAGAGAAAGAAAAAGAAGTAGAGAGAGGAAGGAGGAGTAACGTAGCTAATTACAGGTTCGAAAACTGAGAAACAACATAAAGACCCATAGCATATAGTAGCCAATCAATCATTTTTCTTTTCAGGGAGAGTATAAATAATGCTACACAATTTAGTCTAGAGAGAAATGTTAATTTAGAAAGAGGGAAACACTAAAAAATCTTGTCCCATTTACAGTACCCATTGAAATTTTTGGATAGAGAGAGGAGAGAGTACCCATTCCAACTTCCTTCGCCCCCAAGCCTCCCTCCAATGGGAGAGAGAGCAATTGAATGAAATATCCGAATTGAATGAGCCGAGTATCCCTCTCTTTTCTGATCATCTATCGCTCTCCTCTTTCTTTCATCTCTTCTTCCCCACTCCCCAAATCTCTCCATCTCCCTTCTCTTTCAATTTTCGGGACTCTTGCTCCATTTCCCGAAATCTGTCCATCTCCCTTCTCTTTCAATTTTCTGGACTCTTCGCCCCCTTTTGCCAACTATCCACACTAATCTCTCATCCTGACTTTCATTCTCACCCTCTATAGATCCACACATTTTGCGAACCATTTCTTTCTCAACAATCTAAAACTTCAAATTTGTAGAAGTTTAGGGCTTCCATATCCCAATTCTTTGCTTCGTAATCTGAACTGTTATAAGGCATCTCTTTTCCCCTAATTTTCTCTCTCTCAAATAGACTGTTTATTGCCTCTTTCTTCATAGCCAAGCTCACGAGCAGAGCCAAGCCATAAAGCGAAAAGAGGAGTAGATAAAAATTAAAATAAATATAAAAATACAAAAAATATTTAAATATATAAAAATAGATGCAGTTAACATGCAGTCAAGCCCGCACATGTAGAAATGTGGGCGATTTATTTTTAAATAGAATTAGATCCTACTTGCAGCATTCCCCAACCTTACCATCCACTACCTAGCCTTTTGGTTCACTACCATTGAAGCCTCACTGTCCCTTCCTCTTCCAACAACTTCCACCACCAAAAAGAAAAAAGCATCTTTCCATTTCCATAGATCGTCCGTCCACCTATTTCAAATCTCCCCGAATGAATGTCAAATCATGGTGATCCAAGCAAGTAGTACCTCACTCCATGACCAAGCTTGAAAGTTCTCAAGCAACCATGCAGTCAACTCCACAAACACTATCTACCCTCCTCTTTACCTTCGTCCCATTTCCTAAATCAAAAGACATTATGTTCCCCACGTAAATTACAGCTCGAGATAGAAATATGATAAACATGCTATAAGACAATATTATGGAATTTGCATTACCAGGGTTTAATTAACTTGAAATCAATCTGGTCATGTATGTCACAATCCTTATTGAGATGGCCCATTAGAAACATTGAGTCACATCATAGAACATAAAAGTGGAATGGTTTGACAGTGGCTTGAAGAATAGTGAGGCTGTTAGCGTCTTCCACGGCATAGTTGCACCTCTCCCAAAAAGTTTGCTAGTTTGAAGAGCAGCCCTCAATTCAGATACAAGTTCGGTAAAATTGAGCTTCAAACATAAATGAATTTCACAAATAATGCACGAGATAACTAAATTTGAAGAAACTACAATCCCTACAAAAGGGCATCTTATACAAAAAATGAGACAATATCTTTTCCATTTCAACCTGCATGAATGCTGGAACAATACGGACCTAATTACTATGTTCCTTTGTTTTGGGGAGCTAGCAGAATTTTCATGTCATGTGAGTCTTATTTGATGCAAGAACAGGCTGCTAAGTGCTAACAATGATTTGGAAGGTGACTCAAGAGAAGATTCATCTTAAACTGTGATTAAGTTTACGTAAAATGTGAGGGACCCAATTCAAATAAGCATTTGGTTAACACGCCCCAACAAATATTCCTATGTGATGAATCACACAGATGAGACATAAGATGGAAGATAAATTCAAAAGCTATAAAGAGAAATATAAATAATAAAAATCGTCAAAACCTCCCTAACCAACCTAGCCTTTCCTCCCACCCAAGCTGTAGCATTCCCCAACCTTACCATCCACAACCTAGCCATATGGTTCACTACCCATGCAGCCTCGCTGTCCCTTCCTCTTCCAATAACTTCCACCACCAAAAAGAAAAAAAAATCTTTCCCTTCCCACAGATCTCTGTCTACCTATTTCAAACCGTCTCGAATGAATGTCAAATCATGGTGATCCAAGCAAGCAGTACCTCACTCCATGACCAGGTTTGAAAGTTCTCAAGCAACCATGCAGTCAACTCCACTATCACTACCTACCCTCCTCTTTACTCTTGACCACATACCCTTCGTCCCATTTCCTAAATCAGAAGACATTTTGTTCACCACGTAAATTAGAGTTCGAGATAGAAATATGATTAACATGCTATAAGACAATATTCTGGAATTTGCATTACCAGGGCTTAATTAACTTGAAATCAATCTTGTCAGCTATGTCACAATCCGTATTGAGATTGCCCATTAGAAACATTGAGTCACATCATAGAACGTACAATTGGAATGGTTTGATAGTAGCTTGAAGAATAGTGATGTTGTTTAAGGTCTTCCACTGCATAGTTGAACCTCTCTCAAAAGGTTTGCTAATTTGAAGAGCAGACCTCAATTCAGGTACAAGTTCGACAAAATTGAGCTACAAACGTAAATAAATTTCACAAATAATGCACGAGTTAACTAAATTTGAAGAAACTACAATCCCTGCAAAAGGGCATCTTAGACAAAAATGAGACAATATCTTGTCCAATTCAACCTGCATGGATGCTGGAACAATTTGGACCTAATTACTGTGTTCCTTTGTTTTGGGGAGCTAGCAAAATTTTCATGCCATATGAGTTTTATTTGATGCAAGTACAAAGGCTGCTAAGTGCTAATAATGATTTGGAAGGTGACTCAAGAGAAGATTCATCTCAAATTGAGATTAAGTTTACGTAAAACAACAATTCACATGAAGTGACATGTTAATTCTTATTAGTGAAGTGAAGGACCCAATTCCCATATGCATTTAGTTGAATGTTGAAACACGCCTCAACAAATATTCCTATGTGATGAATCACACGAATGAGACATACGATGGAAGACAAATTCAAAAGCTATAAAAAAATATATAAATAATATAAATTGTCAAAATCTCCCCAACCACAATCTAGCCTTTCCTCCCACCCAACATGCAGCATTCCCCAACCATACCATCCACAACCTAGCCTTTTGGTTCACTACCCTTGCAGCCTCACTGTCCCTTCCTCTTCCAACAACTTCCACCACCAAAAAGAAAAAAGCATCTTTCCATTCCCACAGATCTTGCCTCTTGATCTGCCACAAAGTTGCATGTAGCCCCGGTGTCTATCATAGCCTTAGTAAGTTTTCCATTGATAGACACTTCCACATACATAAGCTCTCATGCTTGGGGCTTGACTTCCTTCACTTGCCCCTTCAATGCATTGAGTAGCCTTAGAGCCCTCATGAGTTTTTTCAGTCTAGCGACTGTGACGGTTGGCATAAAGAAAAAGGAAATAAAGAAAAGGGAAATGCTGGAAATTGTGGCCTTGATAAGGATCACTCTGCAGCTTGGTGAAAGGACTCTCCCTTACCATGAAGCCAGGTGCCACTCGACTTTGTCTATAACCAAGCTCCATAACTGGATTCGAGGAAGGCCAATGCAAAATGGAAGGCTAAGATAGGATGCGGGCATTGGCTCTACAGCACATCCCCATGAGTCAGTGAAGCATTTGACTCTGGCTTGGTCAAGGCAAATTCTTGTCATCTTAGTTTTTTCTAGGTTCACCCTAAGGCCCATAGCCAATTGGAAGTATTGGAGGAAGAGCAACAAACAACTAACTTTTTTTAAAAATGCATCGCAAAAGAGGAGGGTATCATTGCCATATTGGTGGTAGAATATCGCGAGACCCAACCTAGCAACTTGGAAACCCGAAATGCGTCCCGCGCTATACACACGAGATAGTGAGGCACTGAACACCTCAGCCACTATGGTAAATATTAGGGTGAAAGGGGGTCCCCTTGGTGGAGCTTGCTCGAAGCATGAAAGTAACGCTTAGATGTGCCATTAATAAGGTCAAAAAATTGGGGTTTTGAAATACACCCTTGGATCCATGTCCACCATAGAGAGCCAAATGGCATTCTGGACAAAGTCTCATCAATAATTTCCCAGTCCACATGATCATAAGACTTTTGATTACCAAGCCTGAGATTTTTGCCCTATAGCGGGAATGTATGCATTCGTGTGCTATTAGAGCCCCATCGAGAATCTGTCATTCCTTCACAAAGGTCCCTTGGGATGATACGATCACCTGACCAAGGACACATTTAAGGTGGGAAGCCAGGCCCTTAAGAGAATTTTGTAGGAAGTATTAATCAAACTAATGGGTCTGAAGTTTTAAGCTCTTCTGCTCCCTCTTTCTTGGGGATCTTGGCAATGAAAGTGGCATTCATCACCTTATGGATAGTGGCTCGAGAGTGAAATTCAGAAAAGAAAGCCATGATATCAGTCCTAAGGGTATCCCAAAAGACTTCGAAGAGGGCTATGGGGAAGCTATCAGGGCTGGGGGACCCGGTCTCCATTGAGATCTTTAATGGCCTGGAGTACTTTGTCCTCTTAAAAAGGGCTTTCCAAATAGGCTGCAGATTCGGGAGAAATAGAAGAGAAGGAGAGGTCCGTCAGTACTGGCCTAGGACTAGAACGGGAAGAGAAAAGCTTGAAAAAATATTCGACAGCCGCTGCCTCAATGAGATTGGGATGGTCAACAATCTGGTCCCACACCTTGAAGTGGGTAATAGAGTTATCCCTTCTTCAACAGTTGGCTATCTTGTGGAAGTAAGCTATATTTTGGTTGCCAAGCTTGAGCCATTTGACATTGGTCCGCTGAGCCCAATAAATTTCTTATTTCTTTAGGAGGCATTGGTAATCATGTTTGTGGATGTATCGAGAATCCAACTCAGACGGGGAGAGAGGTCTAAGTTCTTCAATGAAGTCTCAGTGTTGAATAGACCTCAAAAGGGAGTCTTTTGGGTATTATAAGTTTCCAGGGAGCTGTGAACTCCATGATTTCAGGAAAACTTTGAGCATTTGAAGCTTTTTCTACAAGATAAAACAGGCCCACCCATTCACGAGCGGGGAGAAGGACTCCCAATGGTTACAGACAGGAGAGGGGAAGCCGGACTCTTAGAGCCAAGACAGCTCAAAGCGAAAAGGCTTAGGCCCTCGAGGAAGGGATTAGGTATCCAGCAGGATAGGTCTATGATTTGAGGCGGGATTGGGAAGCACCAGAGAGTGGGTGTCAGGGAACTCATGATCCCACTCGATAGGGGTTAGAAATCTATCTAATTTTGAGAGGCTTGGATTAGCCGAATGACTAGACCAACTGAACTCCGCTCCTTCCAACAGGATGTCTATGAGCTAAGAAATCAGAGAACTATACCATTGAAGGGGTAGTTTTGTCGTGGGAATTACGTTCGTGAGACCATCTGGTGATTTTAAAATCACCTCCTACGCATCACTAAGAAAAAGGAAGGTCATCAAATATTGTAACTCTCTCAAAACGGCCAATTTCTCGTTGTCTTCTTGTGGTCCATAGACCACAATGCATTTCTAATGGAGGAAATCAATGATCCTAGCTAGGGTCACTATGACAGAGAACTTGCCAATGTGAGAGGCAACTAAGGCGTGTTGAGATGGGACCATCCAAAGCTAACCACTGCTAGGGGAAGACCCCAAATATTTCGAATTTAGGAGAGTGGAGGAAGGAAACTTGGTTTCCACCAAACTAAGAAGAAAGGGAGAATACTGTGAAACAAATTGACGAATATTTGTTGTTTTCCTGGGTGGTCCAAACCCTTATATTCCAAATAAAGATCTTCATAGCAAAGGTAATGGGCGAATGGCACTCATGGTCGAGCGGCGAGAATGCTGAGGAGCTGAGGGAGGGGGGAGGACCTTAGCTGAGGGGTCCCCTTTCTCGTACCTTACTTTGAAAGAGAGTTGGATAGCTCTCGGAATGCTCTTAAATTGGTGGCGGGAGCCTTACCTTTGACATTATTCGACTTATACTGGCATCTCGATTCGCTATCAGCATTGATGAAGGCTTCAAGGGCTTCATGTAGGCCGTTGAACAGGAAGCCCATCACTTAAAGGATCTCATGAGGAGTGCCTTGGGCTTGGTCGATTGCGTTC